CCTGCTCCTGCATTTGCATGCTGTGGTAAGCTGAAGAATTGATAAAAGTGCAGAAAAGGTGTTTGGGGTGTGTGTGTGGGTTTTTGGTTATTTATCTGCTAGGGGAGTGCTAGGAAAACATGGAACATGGTGGGCCTCCAATAATTTCCCATTTTTTCTTCTCAGTGGGACATGTGAGGTCTGCTTGACTTGGAGAGCAGTGAGGAACTTTTTGTACCAGCTCACCAAACCTGCAGCTAAGCTCCATAGACTTCTTCTTAACCATCTCCATAGGTTTTCACTGAACATTGCTGTCTTAATAGAGCCTATTGAAATCATTGGAAATGACTGACTTCCATGGACATTGGATTAAGCTTTAAAGAATAACTATTGGCATGCCAGACCTAAATACTTCCTTCAGGAATGTGCTGTTACAAAACTTCAGATTAATCTTAAAAGGGCTTCTTTAAAACTTGAGTTGAGTAAGAAATTCTGTCAGTTAGGGCCTAGGCTTGCAAAGTACTGAGCACTGAAGTGAACGGGAATGAGGGGCATTCAGTGCCTTTATAGAGAAGGACCCATAGTTAGTTTCCTTTTTGAAAGGAGTTCTAAAAAACCAAAATAAATGGTAAATGTTTCAGTCCATCTTTATGCCAATTAAATAATTGGGTGTTTTCTTTAACAGGTGAAAAGCCATTCAGCTGTAGATGGCCCAGCTGTCAAAAAAAATTTGCCAGATCCGATGAACTAGTCCGCCATCACAACATGCACCAGAGGAACATGACTAAACTTCAGTTGGCCCTTTAGACAACTCAAACAAATGAATAAACAAAATGGGATATTATGAACTGCTGCAAACTTTTCAATCATCCTTGACCACCTCTTTAGGAATGCTACATCTGTCTACTCTACCCAGTTGAGACAGGTTAACTAAACCGTAGGATTTTGTTCAGTTTTGACATCCATTGGACTTTAAAGAAAATTCCCATTCAATAATGTTAAGTGGGGTTTTTGTGACATTGTTATGAAATTATGGAGATTCTTACAATTAAAATATTGCTATGAGCTGTAGTTACTTTTGATGTTCTTTTGCTCTAAAAATCTTTCAATTATTATTTCTACTTGAACATTTACAGGTGCATATTTATTGTACCTTGATAGTCAAACTATGTGTGTACTTCTGCTAAGGTAAAGCTTTGTGCTTACTGCATATGTGCAGGTTTCCAAATTCTATTACAATCGTACACTCAAAAAAATACTCAAGACATTTTTGGTAAACTTTGTATTTGTACTCCGTAAGGGCAATTTTTTAAAATGTAAGCTCTGATTTGAATTTCACAAGTCAACTTAAAAAAAAAGTTTCTAGAGCAGCTAACACTAGATGAATTTTGTGCAAAAAAATTAGAATCTTTCATTTAAGTTAACTTGCTTTTAACGTTACAGCATGGATCCCCAGAAATTGTATTATCTCTGTTTCAATCTTTTTTTGGACTGGTTTAAGTTTATTTCATCCTCAGATGTACAGATCTCCTTTTTACCCCCAACAGATTCCAGTCATTGTAGACATTTGGGATTTGTTTACAGTGTAAACCACACTGGTTATGTGGTTAGCAAGTTGTATAAACTTAAAACTGAACTGAAACGGGGCTGGTCCAGGATCTCCATTAACAGATTACTCTTAAGATAAGTAACTTAAAGAGACTCTTTGTCAAGTATATGTGAAAAGAGACATTAGTGTGAGGAAATATATTGTTTCAGGGTTTGGGGAAGAGGGTTTATTATTTCCTATTAATTGCTTGAAATGGTGTGTGTGTGTGTGTGTGTGTGTGTGTGTGTATATATATATATATATATATATATAAAATAATGTATTGCTCTTAGACAACTAAAATTAGAAAGTGTATAAATATTAGATGCATCACTGTTCTGATCTTGTTGCTGTTACAAATTATTGATAACACTAAGAATGTAACCTGCATTTTTCACCAAGCTTTCAATTAAAGCCCCTTCAAAGAGAAAAATACGAGAGTCCAACAGCTGTCTTCTTTCATGGCTGGTATTAGATTTCACATGACATGTCCAATACTTACCATTTTTTGTATGGAAAGGTACCACCAGCATTGATGACCACTAGTTAACCTGTCCAGGTCTTGACCACAATTTATCCGTCTCACTGGGGAATTGTACTGGCAACAGAAAACCGTATCAGGTTTCATATCATGTTATAAAACAGTTACTTCAATTTTTTTTTCTTACAATTGTTTATCTTTTAGTGGGTTAGACGAACACAATGAATGAAAACACCACAGCTTAGCAAAAAAAGAAAAAATCTTTGAAACAAAGAAAAATGGTCTCCTATAAAGCCAAATGTAGTAGTTAGCACGGATACCTTTTTAGCTTAGGAGGTCATAGGCTAGATACCAAGTAAGACTTAAATTACAAATGTGGTGCACTAAATCAGTTGGGCAGCTTGAAAAAACACTCAGTCTTTCCCAGAACATGAAGTGTGAAAACGAGGATAAGAATAATGGTTACTTGGTTTTTATTTACAAAATAATAATCATGCAGGATGACAATCTGATTTGGTGCCATCAGGCTCAGATTTTGACCTTGCAAAATACTTTTATCCTATTCCCTTAAAAAAAAAGTTAATGCGTCTTTTTTTTCCAAGGGATTTTTTCTCTCTCTCTCATGCAAATACCATGGTACTCCAGCTATGATGGGTTAAGTTTTTAGCAGCAGCAGCATCAAGAAAACTTAATTCTTCAGGTTCTCTTTTTCACATAGATATTGCATCATTGTCAATTACTTTTGAGGTACTGTGACTCATTTATATCAGTCAGTTTATATCTTTTGCTGCCACAAGACCACATCTCTGGGAGAAACCCATAACAATTGTGGCAAACATCAAGTATTTGCAATGAATGGTGTGTGCAAAACTATGCAGTATTTAAACAAATAAAACAACTCCGCCTTGTCCTCTGGCAACACTCAGCTTTAGAAAGAATGTTCTCTGATTTGCCCAGTAGCATTATCTGACTACAAAACAAGTTGTTTTTTAGTCGGCACCCAAAACCTGCCAGATGTGTTTAAACTATTAAATCTCCCCGCCCCACACTCTAACCTCTAGTTATGCTCACATTAGTCAAACATAAAAATATATGAACTATAGCTAAAACTACAGGACAATATGGTGCAGACGTTCAGTGTCCTGCAAGTAAGTGTGTCCACAGCTTTCCTCCTGTCGTAAATTGGAAAGCAGATAATAGTTAAAAGGATCCACAACTGCAGAAATGAAAAATGAAGGCTGGGTTGAGAGGAAGAGCTGAATCTTTGCATTTTGTGTTTTGATTCTAGCCCCTTTTTCAATTAAAAAAAGGGACCTTACACTGGACCTACTTCTGTTGGTGAGAAAGACAAGTTTGCTTCTTTCTCATCAAGAGAAGTTGATCCACTAAAAGATATTACCTTGCCCACTTTGGCCTACTTACATAAAATGCATTTGCAATTCACTGCCATTCCATTTACTTGGTTGAATTATGCATACATATAGTAGGGGTAAACAGCATAATCTCTCCAATTTTTACTGCATCTACTGAGGTCAAGGGGATCATTTAAACAAACTGTTTTTTAAGACAGCTGAATACAGCTAAATGTGCCTTTTCATGACAAGAAGTGACTTAAAATGTCCTGTATTGAATCACACTATTGTACTTTTGGGTAGTGCCTTATTCCTTCAGGCTATGTACTATGGGAAATCAAGATGAGGTATTGAGCAGTTTTCATTTTTCTAGCACCGTAGAGTACTATTCTGGATAATGTAGCCTATAGTCATAGTTATATCCATTTGAGATGGCACAGCATTGAGGAATCAGTTTGTACCTGGCCCAAACATGCACATAGTTATAATGTGTGTGATTTTTAGATGGCCCTACAATCATCTCTATCTATTTCAGGGTGCCAACAAAACAGACTTCATTACTCTACCAATCAGCCTTAAACAGACAGCTGGGGTTGGAAGATATAGGTATGTACTTTGAACAAAGCATTTTTACCTTCCTGAATAGGCACTGGTTAAAACCCATCTTGCCAACTTTATTCAGCATATTGCCTTTCAAATAGGAACCAATATGAGTGGTCCTGCGCAGTTTGTCAAAGAGGGTATCTAGGTTGGTTCAGACTAAGGATAAGAAAGTGTAACCGTGTATATGGTTAACCGATGAGCCTGGGCTCAACGGGTAACCTTCATGGTTACATTCAGGCTCTCAGTATGCACAGAGACCTGGCTTAAAAGCTGGATGCCCATACACACCAGATCCTGGGGAGATGCTTCCTCCACCCCACCCATGTACAGGAGGCCCCTGCTTTACGACGGCCCGATTTATGACCCCCCCGCACTTATGACCTTTTCTGTAAGTGCGGAATGAGCTGAAATCCCCCGACTTACATCCTCGGCCCTGCATTTACGACGGTGCATGACACCCATCGTAAATGCGGGATCAAGTTATGATGCCCCTCACTTGCAATGCTGTCCCAATAACCGATCACGTCGCAAGTCGGGGGCAGCCTGTAACCACTGAATTTTTCAGCAGTTACATGTTTACTTAATAAAACACATTTTAACATCCCGAGTTCAAACACATTAGATCCTCTTTTGCCAGGTTAATCGAGCTGCACGTGGACAGGAAGGAGAAGGGGCACCAAGGAACTGGTTGCAGCTCCATGATTTGGGGCTGCCTGAGCCTGGTACAAATTAGGGCTGCACAGGGACAAATTTCAGGGCAGATGCCAGTAGAGGATTGGGAGTAATGCCCCAGCATGCCGCTTTCTTCCTCTTTGTTGGAAGTGGAGAGGAGCTGGCTGAGGATGTGGTGGAGCTGCCTCCACCAGCAGCTTGTGGGTTGAGTCCATGCAAAGTGGGAATTCTCCACTGGTCAGCTCCTGCTGTCTTAAGGCAACATTGCATGGCTTATCCAGAGCAACATGGCACTAGTGGGGCAGAGAATCTGGTCCTATGACCATATACATTTGCCAAGACCCACTGGCTTGACCTTAGCTTTATAAAAGAAATAACTTTTCAAGACAGAAGATGTGAAAGAGAATTAGGAAGGAGTTTGATAATATGGGACTGGTCACAACAGTGATGATTATATTATTTAATCATGAGAAAAATCTCAACCACAATGAGACCATCTAAAAATTAGACAATGAAGTGGAAAAGCAGGAATTCAGCCAGAAGTATTCCACCCCAAATAATAAATATAAGGATAAGTTGCCAAGTGAGGTCAAAGAAGCAAATGGGAAAGTGAGTTTAAGAGACAGCTAGACACTTTTATGGGGAGCGAGGGGAATGAAGGATATAGTGACAAAAGAGGGGGAAGAGTTGAGATAAACTCAGAGGACAGGCTCCGTGGGCCAAGTGGCTCTATAATTCAGAGAGTGACTGTGAGTTGCAGGAGTTCTGTAAAGTAGCTGAGAAGACTACCAGACCCCTGAGGAGCCTCGCATACATGTTAACAAACGTGAGGACTGAAGGTAAAATGCCAGAATGGTTTGAGGGGAAGCGGTGTCTGACAGACAGGAATCTGTATGCTATCAGCAGCCTTGCTCATTATTGCTGCTTGCAGGCTAGTTAATGCAATGGTTACGACAGACTCACTGCAAGAAGTCAGCATGAAAGCACAGACTTGATGAAGAACTTGTACCCATGCAGCTGAGGCTTTGTTAGCTTCTAGTGCATGATGTGGGGAACAGATATATGCTAAATCTGAAAAGGTATTTTATCAACTTTTCTTAAAAGACTAAGAATGTCTGTAGGACAAGAAAGAACTCGATGAACAAGACCATTAAATGCTTCAAAGTGCAAGGAAATACATCTTTATGTAAGTTTATCATCTTCGTAACATCATGCAACTCAAAGGGTCCCAAACCACACTGTAAACAGAGTCTGAACCTGCTCCCATTAGAAACAATGACATGAGTGGGGGCATGGTTGAGCCTGGTGTTAATGGAGAGATCATTTCATCTACCTCTGGGGTTAAGGGTGACAACACTCTGAAGTGGTTTTGCACCAGAATCGCACATTCAGTTGATATGGATAAGAAAATTGAGTACGGTAAAATGTAGTTTTCCATGTTGGAATTTGCCCAAAACAGAAATGGTAACTTACTCCCTCCTCCTCCTCCTCCTCCTCCTCCAAAAAAAAAAAAAAAGCCTGGGGATCTCAAATAACCATGAGTACTCAGGACCTATGTTAACATGTCATCTATTTCATTTTGAACATATTTATTATTTGTTACAGTTTCACCTCAAATTGCTACCAGGGCCTCATTCATAAGCTTCACAAGGTAAGCACTGTAAAAAAAAAAAAAAAAAAAAAAAAAAAAAAGGCCTAATAAGAGACTGTTCCTGTCCTTAAGAGCTTACAATCTAAATATACAAGACAGACAAAGCACTGTAAATTAGAAAGGTTATTTTTATTTTTTTGCAGTTTAATGGCCAGACTTTAAGAAATGCTCAATATCCTACTGGAAAATCTGTGCATAAATGACTTGCCTAAATTTACAGTGGAAGGGTCTCATCCAAAATTGGATTCAAATCTTGTTTCTTTTGATTTCCAGTCCCTTGCCACCTCAAAGACTTCTCTCATCTCTTCATTTGCAGTTCAAATTTTCACTTCATAGATATCCATCTGTTGCTACAAAATATCAGCAGTATACTATTATTACTGTTTAATAACAAAGGTGAATATTCAGAAATATACTACTACTCTGCATTTTTCAAAGGGCTTTGCAAAGGTAGGTATTCTCCCTCTGATTACAGTGAGGAAAATGAAGCACAAAGGATTAAATGACTAGTGAAAAGTCATACAGCTGAACCACCTGCTGGACTTCACTGACTCTCAAAGAGAGGTAAGGTAATTTTTCTTTTTCACCTGTAGCATGAACTTGTGTTTTTTTCTTTTTAAAGGAACTGAAATACTTGAATAAAAAAGCAGCTTTAAAGAGA